GCCGGGGATGGGGGGGGGTCCAAAGATGGGGACCCCCCCTGTGGGCAGGGGGACCATGGGGATGTGGGCACCCAAAAGATGGGGACCCCCCTCGGTGGGCACCCATTGGGTGGGGGGGCACCTGCCGTGGGCAGGGGGAAGCTGGGGATGTGGGGGCTCCAAAGATGGGGACCGCCCTCGGTGAGCACTGAGAAGATGGGGACCCCCTCGGTGGGCAGGGGGACCATGGGGACATGGGCACCCACAAATTGGGAAGCCCTCGGTGGGCAGGGGGACCCTGGGGATGTGGGCACCCAAAAGATGGGGACCCCCCTCGGGGAGCACCCAGAAGATGGGGTTCCCCTCATGGGCAGGGGCACTGCAAGGATGTGGACACCCACAAGATGGGGACCCCACTGTGTGCACCCAAAAGATGGGGACCCCCCTCGGGGAGCACCCAGAAGATGGGGTTCCCCTCATGGGCAGGGGCACTGCAAGGATGTGGACACCCACAAGATGGGGACCCCACTGTGTGCACCCAAAAGATGGGGACCCCCCTCGGGGAGCACCCAGAAGATGGGGTTCCCCTCATGGGCAGGGGCACTGCAAGGATGTGGACACCCACAAGATGGGGACCCCACTGTGTGCACCCAAAAGATGGGGACCCCCCCGTGGGCAGGGGCACCCCGGGGAAGATGGGGTTCCCCTCATGGGCAGGGGCACTGCAAGGATGTGGACACCCACAAGATGGGGACCCCACTGTGTGCACCCAAAAGATGGGGACCTCTCGGTGGGCAGGGGGACCCCAGGGACATGGGGACCCCTCAGTGGGCACAGAGAAGATGGGGACCCCTCTGTGGGCAGGGGCACCCTGGGGATGTGGGCACCCAGAAAATGGGGGCCCCTTGGTGGGCAGGGACACCCCAGGAACGTGAGCACCCAGAAGATGGGGACCCCTTGGTGGGCACCCAAAAGATGGGGACCCCCCCGTGGGCAGGGGGACCCTGGGGACATGGGCACCCAGATGATGGGAACCCCTTGGTGGGCACCCAGAAGATGGGGTTCCCCTCATGGGCAGGGGCACCACAAGGATGTGGGGACCCCAAAGACGGGGACAGCTGGTGGGCAGGGGAACCCTGGGGACATGGGCACCCAGAAGATGGGGACCCCCCCGTGGGCAGGGACACCCCGGGAATGTGGGGACCCCAGAGATGGGGACCCCTCTGTGAGGATCTAGAAGATGGGGACCCCTCGGTGGGCACCTAGGAGATGGGGAGCCCTCGGTGGGCAGGGACACCCCAGGAACGTGAGCACCCAGAAGATGGGGACCCCTTGGTGGGCACCCAAAAGATGGGGACCCCCCTCGTGGGCAGGGGGACCCTGGGGACATGGGCACCCACAAACTGGGGACCCCTCTGTGAGGATCTAGAAGATGGGGACCCCTCGGTGGGCACCTAGGAGATGGGGAGCCCTCGGTGGGCAGGGACACCCCAGGAACGTGAGCACCCAGAAGATGGGGACCCCTTGGTGGGCACCCAAAAGATGGGGACCCCCCTCGTGGGCAGGGGGACCCTGGGGACATGGGCACCCACAAACTGGGGACCCCTCTGTGAGGATCTAGAAGATGGGGACCCCTCGGTGGGCACAGAGACCCTGGGGACATTGGCACCCTAAAGATGGGCACCCCCCTCGGTGGGCACCCAAAAGATGGGGACGCCCCCGTGGGGTGGGGGACGCCAGGGACATGGGCAAGATGGGGACCCCTGGATGGGCACCCAGAAGATGGGGACCCCTTGGTGGGCACCCAAAAGATGGGGATCCCCCCATGGGCAGGGGGACGCCAGGGACATGGGCACCCAGAAGATGGGGACCCCTCGGTGGGCACTCACATATTGGGGACCCCTCGGTGTGGCTTGAGCACCCATGAAAAGGGGGACCCCCTGGGTGGTGGGGGGGTGTGTCAGGGCCACCCCCCAGCAACAGGCACCCCAAGGTGACCCCAAGGTGCCCAGATGGGGGTGCCCTGGAGGAGAGGAGCCAAACTGGGGTGCTCTGGAGAAGGGCACCAGGGTGGGGGGGTGACCAGATAGGGGTCCCCAGAATGGGGGTGCCCCATGTGGGGGTTCCTGGGTGGGGGCACCCACAAAGGGGCACTCAGAGGGTCCTGGGTGGGGGGGTACCCCAAGATTTGGATGGGACCCCCAAACACGGGTGACCGGGTGGGGGTGCCCAGCGAAGGGTGTCCTTCCCACCACCCCGTGGTCACCCAACGCACCTCTCCCCGCCCCACAGATGGAGGTGGAGACCCCCCCCGAGCCCCCCACTCTACTGAAGACCTACAAATGGCGAACGGCGGCACCCGTGGGTGACCGGGAAGCCGAGAAGGCCACCGGGCCACCCGGCCACCGGGCCACCGAGTCCCCGGGCAGCCGGCGCTGGACCCGCTTGCAGGGCTGGAAACGTTCCTACAGCCACCCCGAGTCCGATGGCCACCAGGATGGGGCTGGGAGGGGCCACTCCGGTTCTGGGGGGACACCCAAGGCCACCCCCCGCCGGTCCCTCTTCCAACGGGCGTTTTCGGCCCCCTCCAAGGGGACCAAGGAGCCGCGGGGACCCGAGGGTGGCAGGGCCACCCTGCAGAAGTACCTGCGCTCCATGTCCAAGAGGAAGGGGCACGGGGAGAGCGGTGGCCCCAGGGCAGAGCCCGTGGCCCAGGAGGCCGTTCCAGGTAGGGGGGTGGTGGGGAGGGTGGG